ATCCAAATTGACACATTCATTTTGCACGGCCAAGGAAGAGGACGCCTAGAGTAAGGGCAAGTATCGTAATACACTTAATGTATACATTAAATGGTACTTCTGCATCTGTGCTAATATTTCAGATCCTGAAATATTGCAAGAGGTTAGTTATCATTTAATCTCTAAAGCTCTTTATTCTCCACAAGTTTAGAAAGGATGGACAAATGTTAAATCAAAATAGCGTAAATATACTTATTTTTTTATTTGAGCTATTCCTAAACAGTTATCCATCCCCAGAATCGCTGTTTTCACTCTGTAGCATTTCATGTTTCAGATAAATATTATACTTTTCTTTAAAATGAAAAGTACATGAAAGTGAAAGGGTTATAATTTTTATGTACATGCTGTAATTTCATTTGTTCTTAATAGATTGTCTGACATCATTTTTTAAATGTAGAAGATTTTCATGTTTAAATTGGAAGGTTGTATTTCTTTGTAATTAACAACCTCTGCTGGATCAGCCTTCAGTTTTGGTTGATCTACAAAAGTCCAACTGTGAAACATCAGACAGCTGTCTGCTTCAAATGACAAATCTGTGTGAAGTTCATGTGCCCATTCATTACCATATGTGGAGACTAGAGGTCTAAAAATCCACATGATTCAATAGAGCAATCATTATTCAAACTTTAGCAATTGTGCCAGCAGTCACCTTAATTGTTTGGTTTTCTGCAATTTGTGTTGCCTGTTTCATTGTACTTTACAACTTATTAACTCCTTGGTCCAGTTCTTTTTAAATTTAATACACTTTAGTGTAATTGGTTTTAAACCAGAGTTAACTAGCACATTAACTTAATAAATAAAACAGCATCTTTATGTTTAACGTATAGAAGGCAATTTTACTGTTTCATTTACTTGTTAATCCTTTACAGAAATAGTTTAGTGGTTAGATATATATCCCTCAACTTGCAATATATTAGACAGGATCTGAAATACTAGTGTAGGAGAAATTCCATATTTGTCATATATATAAATATATACATATGTATATATATATATATATAAAAATACAAATAGATGGTTGCACTCACGGTTTTTGAATTAAAAGTCCAAAGTTTAATGTCAGATAGTAAAAGCTGTGATCAACGTTTCAGTCCTTCCATGAGGACTTTCATCAGGATCATAAAAACAGACATGGTACAAATAGCATATTTATATACAACATAATTAATTAAATCAAACTGTTTTAGGTGAATCAGCTTACCCCCAATGAGTCTTGCTGTCTGATCGGCGTCCCAATGCCCCGTGTGCGCATGCGTGAATTTGCTCCGCCCCACATAGTGACATCATATTACGTCGACGTGCCCGACCGTAACCATAGCGATGCGGGCATAAAAACCCGTCGCTATGGGGATAAAATACAAATGGATGAAGAAATCGTGTTTCTGTGATCATAGTGACCAATATATTCAATTGTGTGTAGTGTATATAGAACAGTGAACTAGCTTATCAGTGATATTACGCCAATAACGGCCATGCCACATTATAGAAGTGTGGCTGAATGCCGTTAACTAGAAAAGTGCTGTGTGCAAGTTAAGTGCCAGTAGATGATTGCTCAGTAACACCTAGTGAAATGTGGTGATTGGGTTCATATATAATGTGAGTGAATATTGAAACAAGTGAATGTTTAGATACAAAGTGACAATGCAAGGTGCTGATAAAAATTTAAAGTGACAGAGTGCTACTCTTGCTACATATACACTGTGCAGAAAACTATATATAATAATAAAAACACTAATTGCCTTCACTAATATACACACAGAGGATATCAATTTGAGAAATGGAAACCTGGGTACTATAGAATTGATCATAATAGTTACTATAATGATTCCCAACTCATGGTTAACATTATCTCAAATTGTATCATTAAAAACATTAAAAAATAATATAACAAGCTGGAGTTGATCTGATCTGGCTACAAAAACATTATTGCACTAAGCCACATTATTACATATGCCTAGAAGCAGCAACATATAGGAAAAATTCTTTCGCCAAATAAATTTTGTTTATAAGGTCCTCTTAAAAAACTTATTGTGTATAAACAAATATATATCCTAATTCAATACGGCAAACATATTATAGGATTTTAAGGAAATTGCTACTACCCAATTATGGATCTACAAAAAAATTTTTTTGGGATAAATACTGCATAAGGTAAATTAAAGTTACAAGAAAGAATGAAACAAAATATGTTCATTTAACCCTTTAGGGAATACCGTGTCCAATTCAAAAATCCAAAAGGTCTCTCTGTTCAACAGAAATTTTCCTCGATCCCCCGCTCTGTTTGATGCTGAAACATGTTCAATTGCCACAAATTTTAAAGTGGCCAGTGAGTGTCCCATCTGCAAAAAGTGTTTAGCAACTGGTTTGTCCGACACTCCATCCCTATACGCCAATCGGATACTTGATCGGTGTCCTCTTATCCTTTCGCATAATGCCGTTTCTGTTTTTCCTATATATACTAGGCCACATGGACACATTAGTTTATAAATAACGTGTGTAGTTTTACACGTTATAGTACTCTTAATAGGGTATTGTTTGTTCGTGTGTGGGTGAAGAAAACTTTTTGCTGGCGTCATGTGTCCACATGTAACGCACCCAAGGCATCGAACACAACCCCGATTATGAATAAACGTGTTGTCTGAGTAGCTTAGTATAGGATCCGTGTTTACTAGTAAATATTTTAAGTTTTTGTTTCTTTTATAACAAATAAGCGGTTTTTCACGAAATACTTTGGGAAGAGTGTCGTCCGTTGCCAAAATTCTCCAGTTCTTTCTTATCGCAGAGGAAATAGACTGGGTAGATTTGTGGTACGTAGTAGGGAAGACTAATCTTTGAGTTGGTGCTTGTTCTCTAGGTATCCGGGGTTTCTTAGCTTCTTTCAATGCTTGGTCTAACGCCGAGCGTTGATATCCTCGTTGTAGAAATTTATTTGTCATCTCTGATAATTGTCTCTCCTTAATAGTCTCATCAGAGTTGTTCCTCATCACCCTTAGGTATTGCGCTTTAGGGAGTGATTTTATCAATGATTGTGGATGAGCGCTATTTGCATGCAGTAGAGTATTTCTATCCGTCATCTTGGTATAAAGACTATACTCAATCCTGCCGTTGCCGACAACTAACTCCACATCTAGATACTGAACTTTCTCGGGACTAATGTGTGCCGTCAATCTTATAGGCACCGGGAGTTGGTTAAGGCTCTCCACCATCTCATATGCCTCCATCGCTGTACCTTTCCAGATGATCAAAAGATCATCTATATAGCGATAATATCCTTGGATTAAGTGGCTATAAGGTGTCAAGATGTAACGTTTTTCGTACGAGTACATATATGCATTAGCGTACATGGGGGCCATCGCCGCCCCCATCGATGTACCAGACACCTGTAAATACCACAAATTCTCAAAACGAAAATAGTTCTTTTCCAAGGCTAATGTAAGGATTTCCAAGACAAACTCGATGGGAGGTCCCTTGTACACTGTTGAGGCTAATAATACCTGGCGCATAGCCTCTATTCCCTCCTCGAGTGGAATCACCGTATATAGACTACTCACATCCATGGTGATGAGTAGTGGTTGGTGTCCTCCAAATTCAATATCGCCAATTCTGTTAAGTAATGTAGGTGTGTCTTTGATGCAGGTTTCCAATTGTTCTATTGTTTCTTTAAACAAATAGTCAAGCCATTTGGCTAAGGGTTCAATGATTCCATTGATAGCGGATACTATGGGTCGGCCTGGGGGATGTTGAGCGTTCTTATGTATCTTTGGGATACTATAAATGATAGGACTTCGCGGATTTTCCTGATTGAGAAACTGAAACAGCTCCATGTCAATGAAACCAGCTCTTAGACCCATGGATAGTGTGTCATGTATCATACTTTGAAATTCCACTGTAGGGTCGTGGTCTAATGGTAAATAAGTATCCATATCCTTCGTCTGAAAGATCATTTTAACAAACAAGATAACATCGACAATCCAGTCAAATACACACCAAAGCATAAATTTTGACCAACATCAACTTTTGACCCGATAACCAATAAATCATCTATCAAGACCTTCTTGTCACTGACTAATAAAGAGGTACACAATACGTTATCCAAGCCCAAATATAAGAGGCATAACATCACGAAACATCAGAGAAAGCTTATTAGGAATTTATCAGAGGATCATTCCATTGTTATACGGTCTGCGGATAAGGGAGGAGGGATTGTCATAATGGATTATGTGGACTACGCGGGGGAAATGAAAAACCAACTACAGGATATGGATACTTATTTACCATTAGACCACGACCCTACAGTGGAATTTCAAAGTATGATACATGACACACTATCCATGGGTCTAAGAGCTGGTTTCATTGACATGGAGCTGTTTCAGTTTCTCAATCAGGAAAATCCGCGAAGTCCTATCATTTATAGTATCCCAAAGATACATAAGAACGCTCAACATCCCCCTGGCCGACCCATAGTATCCGCTATCAATGGAATCATTGAACCCTTAGCCAAATGGCTTGACTATTTGTTTAAAGAAACAATAGAACAATTGGAAACCTGCATCAAAGACACACCTACATTACTTAACAGAATTGGCGATATTGAATTTGGAGGACACCAACCACTACTCATCACCATGGATGTGAGTAGTCTATATACGGTGATTCCACACGAGGAGGGAATAGAGGCTATGCGCCAGGTATTATTAGCCTCAACAGTGTACAAGGGACCTCCCATCGAGTTTGTCTTGGAAATCCTTACATTAGCCTTGGAAAAGAACTATTTTCGTTTTGAGAATTCGTGGTATTTACAGGTGTCTGGTACATCGATGGGGGCGGCGATGGCCCCCATGTACGCTAATGCATATATGTACTCGTACGAAAAACGTTACATCTTGACACCTTATAGCCACTTAATCCAAGGATATTATCGCTATATAGATGATCTTTTGATCATCTGGAAAGGTACAGCGATGGAGGCATATGAGATGGTGGAGAGCCTTAACCAACTCCCGGTGCCTATAAGATTGACGGCACACATTAGTCCCGAGAAAGTTCAGTATCTAGATGTGGAGTTAGTTGTCGGCAACGGCAGGATTGAGTATAGTCTTTATACCAAGATGACGGATAGAAATACTCTACTGCATGCAAATAGCGCTCATCCACAATCATTGATAAAATCACTCCCTAAAGCGCAATACCTAAGGGTGATGAGGAACAACTCTGATGAGACTATTAAGGAGAGACAATTATCAGAGATGACAAATAAATTTCTACAACGAGGATATCAACGCTCGGCGTTAGACCAAGCATTGAAAGAAGCTAAGAAACCCCGGATACCTAGAGAACAAGCACCAACTCAAAGATTAGTCTTCCCTACTACGTACCACAAATCTACCCAATCTATTTCCTCTGCGATAAGAAAGAACTGGAGAATTTTGGCAACGGACGACACTCTTCCCAAAGTATTTCGTGAAAAACCGCTTATTTGTTATAAAAGAAACAAAAACTTAAAAGATTTACTAGTAAACACGGATCCTATACTAAGCTACTCAGACAACACGTTTATTCATAATCGGGGTTGTGTTCGATGCCTTGGGTGCGTTACATGTGGACACATGACGCCAGCAAAAAGTTTTCTTCACCCACACACGAACAAACAATACCCCATTAAGAGTACTATAACGTGTAAAACTACACACGTTATTTATAAACTAATGTGTCCATGTGGCCTAGTATATATAGGAAAAACAGAAACGGCATTATGCGAAAGGATAAGAGGACACCGATCAAGTATCCGATTGGCGTATAGGGATGGAGTGTCGGACAAACCAGTTGCTAAACACTTTTTGCAGATGTGACACTCACTGGCCACTTTAAAATTTGTGGCAATTGAACATGTTTCAGCATCAAACAGAGCGGGGGGATCGAGGAAAATTTCTGTTGAACAGAGAGACCTTTTGGATTTTTGAATTGGACACGGTATTCCCTAAAGGGTTAAATGAACATATTTCGTTTCATTCTTTCTTGTAACTTTAATTTACCTTATGCAGTATTTATCCCCCAAAATTTTTTTTGTAGATCCATAATTGGGTAGTAGCAATTTCCTTAAAATCCTATAATATGTTTGCCGTATTGAATTAGGATATATATTTGTTTATACACAATAAGTTTTTTAAGAGGACCTTATAAACAAAATTTATTTGGCGAAAGAATTTTTCCTATATGTTGCTGCTTCTAGGCATATGTAATAATGTGGCTTAGTGCAATAATGTTTTTGTAGCCAGATCAGATCAACTCCAGCTTGTTATATTATTTTTTAATGTTTTTAATGATACAATTTGAGATAATGTTAACCATGAGTTGGGAATCATTATAGTAACTATTATGATCAATTCTATAGTACCCAGGTTTCCATTTCTCAAATTGATATCCTCTGTGTGTATATTAGTGAAGGCAATTAGTGTTTTTATTATTATATATAGTTTTCTGCACAGTGTATATGTAGCAAGAGTAGCACTCTGTCACTTTAAATTTTTATCAGCACCTTGCATTGTCACTTTGTATCTAAACATTCACTTGTTTCAATATTCACTCACATTATATATGAACCCAATCACCACATTTCACTAGGTGTTACTGAGCAATCATCTACTGGCACTTTACTTGCACACAGCACTTTTCTAGTTAACGGCATTCAGCCACACTTCTATAATGTGGCATGGCCGTTATTGGCGTAATATCACTGATAAGCTAGTTCACTGTTCTATATACACTACACACAATTGAATATATTGGTCACTATGATCACAGAAACACGATTTCTTCATCCATTTGTATTTTATCCCCATAGCGACGGGTTTTTATGCCTGCGTCGCTATGGTTACGGTCGGGCACATCGACGTAATATGATGTCACTATGTGGGGCGGAGCAAATTCACGCATGCGCACACGGGGCATTGGGACGCCGATCAGACAGCAAGACTCATTGGGGGTAAGCTGATTCACCTAAAACAGTTTGATTTAATTAATTATGTTGTATATAAATATACTATTTGTACCATGTCTGTTTTTATGATCCTGATGAAAGTCCTCATGGAAGGACTGAAACGTTGATCACAGCTTTTACTATCTGACATTAAACTTTGGACTTTTAATTCAAAAACCGTGAGTGCAACCATCTATTTGTATTTTTGTATTTTTTGGGCTATGCATGGTTGGCACCCGGTCACAAAGGGACATTTCAGCGTGAGTGCAGGAACTATTTTTGCTTTTTTATATATATATATATATATATACAGGGAGTGCAGAATTATTAGGCAAATTAGTATTTTGACCACATCATCCTCTTTATGCATGTTGTCTTACTCCAAGCTGTATAGGCTCGAAAGCCTACTACCAATTAAGCATATTAGGTGATGTGCATCTCTGTAATGAGAAGGGGTGTGGTCTAATGACATCAACACCCTATATCAGGTGTGCATAATTATTAGGCAACTTCCTTTCCTTTGGCAAAATGGGTCAAAAGAAGGACTTGACAGGCTCAGAAAAGTCAAAAATAGTGAGATATCTTGCAGAGGGATGCAGCACTCTTAAAATTGCAAAGCTTCTGAAGCGTGATCATCGAACAATCAAGCGTTTCATTCAAAATAGTCAACAAGGTCGCAAGAAGCGTGTGGAAAAACCAAGGCGCAAAATAACTGCCCATGAACTGAGAAAAGTCAAGCGTGCAGCTGCCACGATGCCACTTGCCACCAGTTTGCCCATATTTCAGAGCTGCAACATCACTGGAGTGCCCAAAAGCACAAGGTGTGCAATACTCAGAGACATGGCCAAGGTAAGAAAGGCTGAAAGATGACCACCACTGAACAAGACACACAAGCTGAAACGTCAAGACTGGGCCAAGAAATAGCTTAGACTGATTTTTCTAAGGTTTTATGGACTGATGAAATGAGAGTGAGTCTTGATGGGCCAGATGGATGGGCCCGTGTTTGGATTGGTAAAGGGCAGAGAGCTCCAGTCTGACTCAGACGCCAGCAAGGTGGAGGTGGAGTACTGGTTTGGGCTGGTATCATCAAAGATGAGCTTGTGGGGCCTTTTCGGGTTGAGGATGGAGTCAAGCTCAACTCCCAGTCCTACTGCCAGTTCCTGGAAGACACCTTCTTCAAGCAGTGGTACAGGAAGAAGTCTGCATCCTTCAAGAAAAACATGATTTTCATGCAGGACAATGCTCCATCACACGCGTCCAAGTACTCCACAGCATGGCTGGCAAGAAAGGGTATAAAAGAAGGAAATCTAATGACATGGCCTCCTTGTTCACCTGATCTGAACCCCATTGAGAACCTGTGGTCCATCATCAAATGTGAGATTTACAAGGAGGGAAAACAGTACACCTCTCTGAACAGTGTCTGGGAGGCTGTGGTTGCTGCTGCACGCAATGTTGATGGTGAACAGATCAAAACACTGACAGAATCCATGGATGGCAGGCTTTTGAGTGTCCTTGCAAAGAAAGGTGGCTATATTGGTCACTGATTTGTTTTTGTTTTGTTTTTGAATGTCAGAAATGTATATTTGTGAATGTTGAGATGTTATATTGGTTTCACTGGTAATAATAAATAATTGAAATGGGTATATATTTGTTTTTTGTTAAGTTGCCTAATAATTATGCACAGTAATAGTCACCTGCACACACAGATATCCCCTAACATAGCTATAACTAAAAACAAACTAAAAACTACTTCCAAAAATATTCAGCTTTGATATTAATGAGTTTTTTGGGTTCATTGAGAACATGGTTGTTGTTCAATAATAAAATTAATCCTCAAAAATACAACTTGCCTAATAATTCTGCACTCCCTGTATATATATATATTTTTGTGTTCGGAATTTAATACATAATGGATAGTGTCTGAGATGAAAGTTGGTTTTGGTGTGCCGAAACCAACGTACGAGTGTGCCTGTAAATAAAAGAGGGCCCACCAAGGAGAATTGTAATGCTATAAGGGTGAAGGTGGGTGGGGACAATCAACTTGAATGGCAGAGGTGAGTAGTGGCTGGGAGTTTAAGTAGGGGACTTACTCCTCCCACAAATTCAGGCCTAATGGCCTTTCTACTTGTGCTCGGAATTTAATACATAATGGATAGTGTCTGAGATGAAAGTTGGGCCTGTAAATAAAAGAGGGCAAAAGAGAAGTTCAAGGAAAAACACACTTTATTGCCTTTAGTACATAACCAAATTCCTGAAGGCTTGGCGAAGCTCTCTTTCTGGTCGTGGTATGTACGTATGGTATATGGAGGATTTCCATCGACCCAGTCTCTTGATGATGTGGACCGGGGTGTTTGTACTAGAGGCTGATGAAGCGGCTCTTATGCAGAAGGAGTGACCAGAGAACAAAGTTTCCCAGTAAGGTTCTTACGTGCGTCGTGAATTTAGCAGTGGTGAGTGGGTGCCCTCCACTAAGTGCGTGTGATGAGTTGACCATAGGTGGTCTAGTGCCTTAACCGGACACCAAGCATTATCAGTGGGATAGAGGGGAATGATAGTGGGGTGTAGTGAGTGATTAGTTTTGGTAGATGGGAGCGTAAGTACGTAGTGATCCTTAGTGAGGTGTGAGGTTTTGAGGCTGTGTGTGATATCCCTTTGACAAACAACAGTGAATTCTCTGGGTCTGAGGAAACCGTAAAAAGCTAGATAAATTGCAGACTTGATCACCAGGATCGAATGGGGATTCATCTAGTAGATTGCTGAGTAATCTAAAGATAGGCCCATCTATTGGTAGTCTTGTAGTGGTAAGTGGAACAGAAACCTTAGAGATTCCCTTTAAAACTTTCTTGATGGTGTATGATGACAAGAAGGGGGTGTTGTTAGGGAAATTAGTGAGACTGTGGTGCTGAACCCCCGTGAGGTATAGTTTAATGGTATTGTGAGAAAGTTTTAAATGTAAGTGGCAGAAGGAGGCAAAAGCCACCATAGTTTGAGTAGAAAAATCACCTTGTAATCTGAAATCTGCTGTGAATTTATTAAAAATGGTAAGTGCCCTACTGTAGGTGATAGTGCTTGGTGTGTGAGAGTCCTAGCGTGGTGCATTAGTGCGTTCAATCCAGGATTAGTTCGTGAAACCGCGGTGTCTTGGATGGCTGACGGTGGGCTGTAGGGAGTGCCTTGAAGAATACCTGGAATTGAGAGCGAAACAGAGCGTCAGTGGCCATATTGTGGATACCCGGGATGTGAATACAGACTAAGCGGAACTGGACGGTTGCTGCCAGCCAGGTCAGTTTGCGAATCAGCCGCATGATGGTAAGGGAGGACAAGCGCCCCTTGTTTATGATATCGCAAGCTGCCGAGTTGTCGGAATAGCATTTTATTGCCTTGCCGGACCAGAGATGACCCCAGGTGTGTGTGGCCACCACGATGGGGTAAATTTCAAAAAGGGCTGAAGTCTCCCTGAATCCTGGAAAACCGAGC